AGATAGGTTCCACAGGCAAGGAAACAAAAGCAAAAATAAAGTTTTGGGACTACACCAAAATAAGAAACTTTTGCGCAGTGAAAGAAATCATCAACAAAATTAAAAAGCAACCTACTGAATGGGAAGATATACTCATAAATGACATATCCAATAAAAGAATAAAATCTAAAATATGGAAAGGATGTCTATGACTCAACATTAAAACAAAAACAAAAAATTTTTAATTAAAATTAAATTAAAAATTATTTAAAAAGGCAGGAACCTGAAACAATTGTTTTACACAATGTATAAGTAGGAAGAATTTCAGGAGCAGCATGGTATGATCAATTGCTATTTAAAATATAATTTAATGTTTAATGTTTTATTTTAATATAATTTAATGTTATAATTTATTTTCATGTTAATATAATGTTGCACAAATATATATGCAATGCTGTATATTTAGATATGAATGGGGGTGGGGAGGAGCCTGGGAATCTAATGTCAACGTGTGGGGTGTAATAAATAAATAAAACTTGACAGTTAAAAAAAAATGCAGTGGGGTAATACCTGAAAGGATCCTGGATTTAAAAATAAAAGAGCTATAAATAGTATTATTGGGACAATTTAGGAAATTTGAATGTGATACATTAGATAATAGTATTTTATTAATGCTGAACTTCCCATATGATCATGTATTATGTTTATGTAGGAGAATGCCCTATTTCTTAGGCAATATATGCTAAAGAATGTAGGGTAAAGTGTGTTAGAGTGGCTGTAACGTACTCTCAAATGGTTCAGGAAAGAATATGTAGTATTCATCTATGGATGGATGGATGGATGTGATATAATCAGATGGATAGATGGGATTTACCCATCTTCAGAGAAAGGGAGAGAGAGAAAGCAAATATAGCAAACTGTTACTAACAGGTGAATCTAAGTGAAAGGTGTATGGGTGCTCATTGTACTTACTATTTTGTAGGCAGTAAATCTGAGCATTTAAAAGGATAAAAAATTGGAGGGAATATATCAAACTCAACACCCAAAAAACAAATAATCCAGTGAAGAAATGGGCGAAAGACATGAATAGACGCTTCTTCAAAGAAGACATCCAGATGGCCAACCGACACATGAAAAAATGCTCAACATCACTCATCATGAGGGAAATACAAATAAAAACTATGAGATAC